TTTTACCCAAGGGACTCGGTGGAGAACAGCAGACACATGTGTACATTGGTATGTCCATGTGTGCACATATTCACAATCCCATACAACAATAGACAATTACATATGTACGAATTTGCTTTGACTATCTGTTAAATACTTAACCAAATATAGACTTGCAACTGTATTTATGGTACACAAACACATACCTGCTTAGTACGCCTTGGCAGAAGGTAGGACTAAACTGTCTGAGTTACTCCAACTGACCATATGCGTAACGGTGTAACACTGTAACAAAGTCCTTTCGCAAATTTCAATTTACATATGGATATTTATATGCGCTTGTTGCGGCTGCTACTACACCTACTTCTCTACTCGCTCGCCAGTCACCAGATTAAAACAGTCATATTGCGAATGCGAATGGTGTAAAGTGTCCGAAACAAAAGAGAATTATAAATTAATCAACCTTTTTTGTCATTGCCTCTGCCAGCGCTGCTGCTGGTGCTGCAGGCTGGATTTTAACATCACCACACCTCACAGGTTATCTTCCCCCCAAACACATGTGTCCGCTGTACTGCCTTAAGGGATGGACGACGGTTGGTTGGTAATTGCTTGTAGCAAATTTGCATGCACAATGTTGGTATCTAAGGATTACTGTAAATTATATATGTGTGTATGTATGTGCGTATGAGAGTGTGTGTGTATGTATTTCGTGTTGAATTTATTTAAAATCCTTAGATAGATTTCAGCATTTCAATGTTATTACTACAACATGAAATTAATTAGGCATGAAATTCCAAGGGATATTTTGGGAAAAATGAAAAGGATTTAATAACGAAAATGAAATATATTCCAGGATTATTAATCTGGGCATCAAATGTCCCATAGGGAGACACTGGCAAATAATAATACTAATGAATGAATTTATATTAGAAAGGGAACGAGAGATAGAGAGAGAGTAATGTGAGATCCACATGGTGAGAATAATAATTTTACCAATCCGTATGCATTATTTCGAAATAATCTCCAGAGACCCTATAAAGCATACAGTCCAACATCGAGTCAGCCATGCCCATGTCTCCACCCGTTTCAAAATTTTGGAATTGGTCACCATTGGCACGAATAATGGCCTTCAAATGGTCAATAGAACCATCACACGCTGCCCGAATGTTGCTCTGCGGTATTTTGGTCCATTCCCGGCGAAGCGCTTGCTTGAGGTGATCGACACTTTGGTATTTTTTAGTGCCAACCTTGCCTTCCAAAATACTCCAGACACAATAGTTAACGGATTTGTATCCCGAGATTGTGGTGGCCATTGTGCGCTGGAAATGAAGCGAGGAACCTAATTTTGTAACCACTCTTGGGTGGCGCGTGCTGAATCCTGTTGGAATGTCCAAGATCTGCGGCCAAAATGTTTGAAGTCCCAAGGCCTTAATAACCCTCCAGAATATTTTCGCGATAATATTCGGCATTTATTCTGATGCCACGGTCGATACGAGCGGAGAGCGATCATCGGCTGTTATGGCGGCCCACACAATCACCATGGTCGACGCATGAGTTCTGGTGGCCAACCGAAGGTGCACATTTTCAGCTGACCTCTTTGGAAAGTAAACACGATCATTTTGTTTGTTTACAAACTGCCGGACAAGGAATGTTTTCTCATCTGCGGTTCACCACTTTGTGACCAGCGAAACAACTCTTTAGCTCTATTGAGTCTATTTTCTTTCTGTGGCGATGTAAGTTCTTGCACTTTTGAAATTTCAATGACGATACCCCCAGATCATTTTTCAATATTTGTCGCATGGAATATTGCGATATGTTCAGCTCATTTTTCGGCCACTGCGAAGCGGGTTTCGATCAAGTCGCTTTTTTTAATTTTCGAACCATTTCTGCTGATGTTGCTGTTCTTCCGCCCACTTCCCTGACATCGGACTACGCTTCGTCAGCGTCACGGTAACGAGCGATGGTACGAGACCCAAAGATTTATTCGATTTTAAATGTTGGAGTGCTCTAACGATAGCCACTTGTGGTTTTCCAGCCAAATATAAAGAAATGACGCTTTAATTCAATGACGAATAACTTTTTTTCTGCTAAATTGCTAAAAATGCTTTTGTACGCTTGTAAACAATATAATGGGCTGTCGCTGAAATAATTTTAACAGCTGTCGGGCGAGTGGCTTAGAAATGACAGCAGTTTGAAATTGGTTGCAGTTTTTTCATCTCCCCCTGAACTAAACGGATTTTTACAAAAAGAAGAGAACACATTGTCTGGCCAATTAATGTTTCTCAACTTTAATACGAAATCACTGCTTTGACCTACATATGGCTAACTACATGTGCCTAACTACTGAACTCATTTGCCGGATCAAGCTAAAAGTTTCTGGTGTAATTGTTCTATCAATTTCTAAATATACCGATTATGACATTGTCATAAATAATTTTCAAAGAACTTATGAAACTAACAATTCACTGATTGACCATTTTGATTTGTGCAGCCAGCCAGCCAACCAACCCTGCCATTCCTATAGGATTTACGCATTTGGACACATATCCCTGTTTTTCCCTTCTTCTTTTCCTTCTTTGGGTATTTTTGTCAAGTCATCAGACGGGAAAAAGTTGTATAAACATAAAACGGATACATAAACATATATATAAACGGGGTATACTTATTATTAGTATGTATATTAGGGTGTTTCGAAAAACAAACCTTTTAACGAACACCAGTTGTAGGATTTTCTAAGTTCTCTGATGTAAAATGATTAATGAAACGTCAAAATTAAAGTTGTCAAAACTGTTGCTGTGGGTAGGACATAGCGACTAATTTATTTTGGTGTCTAATCTATCGATAAATTTCATTTATTATTTTTGTCGGTAACTCAAGAAATGAGTAAGAGAACCGTACTATACTATGTATATTATAGATGTATTTTTTTATTAGACATTAAAAACATCCTCTATTCCATCCTAATATTCCACTCTTTGTTGTTACATTTTTATAAATTCCATAACAAACAACATAAGTATGTCCATGTGCGTGTAATGGCAATACATATCATAACTATTCTCCTTCAAATGTCTCGGCAAACAACAACTCAGCAAAAACATGCAGCCTACAACAAGAACAACAACAATAATAATAACCATTACTTATCGCAGACACAGATACCGGTCTCCCCAAACATAACGCACACATACACAGACATGTGGGTTCTTCATAAAGTTCTAGTCACTTGTCTCCATCCCCTCCCCCTCACTATCGCCCCAATCTCTCGTGGCTTATCAACGATATTCGTTCAAAGAACAAACACTGGCTGACTAACTGACTGACTGACCCTTGGAAAATGTTTCATAAATGAAGGAATTTCTATTTAATATTTATGATTAAATGAAATGTCAACATCAGCATTTACTCTCCATTTTTACAATCAATTCATATTGACAATAAAATGTTTTACGATTTGTTCGGTTCTCAGCGCTCGCTGCCAGCTAGCAGTTTGCTCCTGCAGTGTATGTTATTGTTGTTCGAATACAATGGTAAACTATTTGTAGCAAAAATATTTTCTTGGAGGGTATACTGATAATGGAGGGAAAGGTTGTATGGGTATATAAAGCATACAAACCGAGCTGACTTTTTTGGATTCAAACGGGGGAATACGGAAAATCTGTAATCAATCACATAATGGAAAAGTAATATGGAAACATTACCATGCGATTACAAAAGACGGGACAAAAGATTGTCAAATCACCAAAATTTGTCATTGAAGCGTAAGTGCCTCAACAATTTTAGAAGCAATTGCCAAATCATCAACGCAAAAATATTTCTATTAATTTTTGATTTTTTATTTCGATTCATTTGATATTTTTCATTTGTTCATTACATAAAAAATTGACATTTTTGGTCATTAAAAATGTCTAACACCAACGAAAATTATCAACTGTTACCTGATAGCTGAGTATATGGTAGTAAACTTACTTTTGTCAGATGTGCTTACTGACCGACCTTATATAGGCCATGCATTGAATTATAACCATAATTCCCACATACCCCTCAAAATACCGTTTCTTTCATCGCTTGGCAATAGCAAAATAACTAGACCAAAGACGAACCAAACAGTCATTGGAAAATTGTAGCCAGAGTATACTTGTCGGATAGTTTCATTATTTAAGATGACATTTGACGTTGATGTCATCTGCAAAGTATAAGCCAATGTTTAGTTATTGTTGTGTATTACACATACACACACACACACTCTCTCATGCATTCCGACGAAGTCTGCATGTCAACTTTGTACAAATTTTCGAAAGATGTCATTTAGCCTTTATGTCAAATCATCTATCAACGACCAATACAGGAAGTTCGACAACCATAAATGCCAATGACAACAATTTTCAAAAAAAGACGACAGGATACTAGAGAAAATAAACATAAATTCATTGATCCTTTGGGGGAATTTGTGAGAGCGCTAAAGGAAGCAAAACAAAACAAATTACAGAAAATAAATCTGCAAGAGCACAATGTTTTTAAAAACATTAGGGTAGGGAAAAGTTTGGTCTACATCATAATTCAGAACTAACCAAATGTCTATAGTCTGGAATTAAAAGAAATTCAGAACTTGATTTTTTGGGTAGAACCCCATTTTTGATATCCCCAAAATATATGAAAAGCCTATTTAAACTAATGTAGCCTACAAAATTCAAAGGCCACCCTCTTTAAAGTGGTGGGTGTAGGATGCTCATCAAGGTAATCATTTTTCTCAATGCTGGTTTTTTCTGGTTAAAGGTATCCAGAAAATTGATAAAATTTAAATAATTTGGCTACTGACATGCTCAAAAGTTTTCAAAACATTATCGCAATTTTCTAATCCCCAACCCTAATGTTTCCACCAAATTTAGGTCTGTAATTTATACAAATCTCAGAATTTTCGCTTGTCAAATATGTCATTGTTTCTGTAATAAGGGCAGACTAGATAATGCGCATATTAAGCTGATAGCAACTAGTCAATTACAATAATTAAGTTCCTGGAATACAACAACAATCACAACAGTGACACACATATATTTATTTCAATACAAAGCAATTGAAAGCAATAAATTTAAGAAAATAGTTTCCTTGCCAATCTTATGGTAAAATAGAAAATCACTTCAGTAAAACTCAGAGCGCTGCAACCCAAAAAGAAGCCCACTAGACCGCCAATATAAACTGTCAGAGAAAATAAAAATGTCATTATGACTTCCTTAATGGATCTGGAACAAAACAATTACCCAATACATCGGCAAAGGAAAAGAGGACATCACGGCGCAATTGCATTTTGGGATAATCTATAATACCCCACTGGAGATTGGCTCCCAGGAACCAAACACGGGAACGCTGAAATCGCCAGCAATTAGATAAATCGTATAACAGGAAAACTACTTACATAAGATTGGACAAAGAAGTTGGAGTCATCACAATTAGCCAGGCAATCGCAATTGATTTTATGCTTAATCGATTTTAGGGATATCATTTCATCTAAAATTAAATTTGCAATAAAAAAAATTATGACTTTCTTACATCACCACTTACTTTTCAAACTAGCCACACAGGCCAGACCCTGCAGACCACAAATGGGTAGAACTCGGCCATTTCTTACTAGAAATACGATCCAAATACAAAAATAATTTCTTGTATATGCAAACTGCTAAGAGATTTACTCACAGCGATTCCGATAGAAATGTGGCACACAGTTACATACTTTCAAGGCCAAAAACATGCGGCACTCGGCCATGCACATGCCGAAGCTATAAACGGGAACGGTCAGCATATTCTCGGCCTCATAGATGAAACGGCATTTTCGTTGTTTGGTGGAGAATCTGCAAACAAAACAATAAACCCTATTTTACCCCATCCAAAAAGAATAAAATTTCTCAATACTTACGCTTTACCCGCTTCTGCTGTATAAATCTCCAGTGCAATCAATTCCACTGTGGTATAATCGGTCTCTGGAAATGTGTAACGCTGTTTTGTTATGCTCGGTATATCGCCAGAGCTATGAAAGAACACATCGTAAGCCGTTGAGAGATTAATAATTTGTGCATAGATTTCTCCATCCAATGGATGGACTGTCACTCTCGCACCATGATGTAAAAGATTCCATTGTTTACTCTTCCAATATTCATAGGAATTATAACGGGCCACCAAACTATTCACCGAATGACAAGTACCAAATTCCGTTTGTGTTTCATAGATGAACATTTTCACTGCCGCACCGCTGCTTATCTCCGGTTCGAAATGCCATTTCAGTTCATAGAGCAAGTCGAGATATTGATCGCTCTCAATGCCATACGAATTGTTCAGCGGCAGTTGATCAATATTTTCATAGGATAGATGTGCTAATTTATCAATAAAAACCTTGAAGCCCTCCTTGTCTTCTTCACTGACAAATATATCGGGATTGGATCTAGCATTGGTGAAATTTTTTAGGAAAATGCATAAAAAAGATAAATACGGGCGTTACTTATGCGGTGCCATCTGATACTGTTTCTTTTTTCGCAAATGTTCTGAAGCTTCATTGTACAACTTTTCTGTCTCTTTTTAGTTTACCTTATTAAATTACTCAAAGATTTTGAATGTCTAAAACAATTTAAAGGGCCTCGGGACCGAAATACTTATTTTAAAGCATACCAAATAAAACCCCTTCTTTGTATCCCCTTCGCGGTGTTAAACAATTCATATTAATTATATTAGTTATCATTGCTTCATTCAGTCAATGGATTTACTTGTTTCCACAGCTACTACCTACAATTTATAAATCTATCTCATCACTAGAAATCATAAAGCGCGTGTAATTTTGATAATTAAAACAGTTATCAGGAAAAACACACATTTCCATTTAATGTCACTTTAATAACATCCAGTCAATGCCATGCATTTTCAATTGAATTTCATTTTACATTCATAGTCCACTGGTCACATGCCCTTCAAAAAGCTTTGCTATATATCCATCGCCTACCTACCATGCCAAAAAAGATAAAATAAGCTAGCTTATAAAAACCTATAAATTTTAATCCACTCTCAATTGGGTAGCTGCATTGTGGTTGGTATTGTGGCCATGCTGGCTAGAGGACAAACTATCAAACAAAGTCATTGCAGCCGCCGCCGCCACCACTACAGTCATACACGACCAACCACATGATCTACAATGGTTTTGGTTTGGAGTGGAATGCAAGCCCCCAGACCACAATGCTTCCAACGCAGTTACATACTTACATTATATACTCCTCGACTTTAAGCTCATCGATGCGTTTGTGGGGGCACACAGTCAGTGATGGAAAGCTGGTGTTCCAAACCAATTTATTACGATCCATTGAGATAACCATTGGTGATGTTTGGAAACGTTGCCAGGTGCGACGGCTAAGCGATATAATGCTAAATATTGCCACACAGATGAAGGCAAACCACAATGTCCTAAAAAGAGAGAACGACAGTAAAAAAATACACACATGAGAAAATCGATTGGTCAATACCCAACCATTTGTTACCCCATGCATATGGTCAAAATGTAAATTTAACAATGACGGACAAATGTAATTCGAATTTAAAACAAGATAAAGTAATGTTGGCCTTGTTGTAATAATTTCTCCTGCAATACATTATTTTCAGGAATTTGCATATGATCAAATCGTTAATAAATGCTTAAAACCTAAAGCTGTTTATGTATCCATGGAAATTAATCAGCTTAACAGGCTCTCGTTAAACACTAAGCCACGTGAAGTTTTTGTTTCTATTTGCATAAATCTTTTTAAACATAATTAACTAATGAATATATGTACATACATATATGTCAGGATATGTATCATTTTGTATTGACAGATTTACCTATTTACACAGTTATGGTATATAAGTGAAAATACAAGTGTAGAGTAAGTGTAATGTAGAAGACATAATATTTCTACATAAAATCTCCGTAATGCAGCTATGCCAATCGCCTATCTTCTTAAGAACTGTACATTTGTATTTGCACAACCAACATTACCAATATTAATATTATTCAAAAATTCTATTCTCAAAAATTTACAACTATACTGACTGGCATTGGCTTGTTATTACTAAGTAGTTTTTCATATGAAAAGCCTATATTTTCCCTCAATCGTTATCGAAACATCAAAAGCGATTCGTACATATTTGTACGACTAAACCTACCTTTCTAAGAAATTTAATCCCATTTTCGCCAAATAGCCAAAACCATGAATTGAAGAGTTCTGCAGAAATTCGATAATAAACGAATGTGCCTTTGCCAATAAGCCGGTTCGACAGCCAGAGTCGCTTTGTTTGTCATCAGCTGCTGCAAGGACATCCTCCTCAACGGCATCATTATGAAGAAATGGCATTTTTGTTTTAGCGTCACGGTAATTGTTGACGTTTTCGTTGGTTTTAGTCTTCTCATGGTGGCCCATCCATAAAGGAGGTCGTCGTATGCGCCTTGCCGTTGTTATGTTGTGGTGATGGATGTTACCGATGTTGGTGGGGCTGTTGTCACCATCGTCAGCAACAACAGCATGGTTTAAAAGCGGCAACTCTTGTCGTTTGGCTTGTCTCTGATTAAGAATTGTCTCATTTGGTGCTAGTCGTTTTTCGCAGGGCTTAACATGCACAACATCCCGGTGCTGAAATTTGACTTTACTGTTGCCAGGAAACTGTTGATTCTTCAAAGACAATGAGTTGGTGTGGGATTTCTCTACAGATGAGCTGTTGGTAGTGATGGTGGTGGCTCTATGTTCTTGAGGTTCCCTTTGTTGTTGCAGTAATTTCACGCTCGATGTTAAAGTCAAATCATCGTCAATGTTGCCATTATTTTCACCTGGTTTCTGTTGAGTATTAAACATGGCCTTGCACAATTTCGGCATGGTGCGAGAAAAAATTAAATAGTGGACAACTTAATGTAGCAACTGCCGAAAAAGAACTGAAATTCTAAAACACAATGTATATACTGGACTGAACTCTTAATGATTTTTGATTCAACATGTTCATAGTATATCGCCTGTGAAACCAAACACCTGTATGGTTTCATATTATGAAAATCTTATGATAAAATCTCATCTACGGACTGACATTAAAAACACAAAAGTTGAATAATGTTTGTGAAGTATGTAAAAACTACGAACGGACAACGTTCAGGCCAAACTATTTAAACAAGAGATTCCTAAAACCTTAAACGTTTTCAAGTAATTGTTTTTATTTTTACTACAATTCAACAGAAATAAAACTCTCCATCCTAGAAAAAGCCTACTTCAATTTATTTTTTTTTTGCCTCCCATTAGCTGGCATACAAAGTAAATTGCTTTCATCTTTGATATCTCTTTCTCTCCCTCTTTCTGCTTGTCCTGCATACACAAACCATATGACTATTATCTTTGGCGATTTAATTTTCGTTGATTGTCCTGCCATAAGCTGCTCCTCCATAAAAAATGACAACATCATTGTTTTCCCGCCCATTACATTTAATGATGTTTGTTGTTAAACTATCATTACAACAACCTCTTCTCCAAAGGATTTTCATTTATTTTTAATCAAACTTTATGGATTATTGCAATATTCTTTCTGTAATAAAAAGGATTTCACAATGAACCAAACCAGTAACAAGAACAACTACAACCACGACACAGGCAGCAAAATGGACTACGATGACGACTGTGCCGCACATACATACATGTACAGGACCATCAACAATCCTTTAGAGCTATCCGGCAATAATGAAACGCGAATTTTCTGTGCAAAAACAACTCAACGAACCCTGTTTGGTTAAGTTGTCTTTATGACCGAACGAATCGACAATGAACATTTACTTTAAACCCGCTCTCTTCATTATCATTATTTAATTAACATATAAAAAGAACCGAAGACTGGTACTTACTGGTGGTACTCGTGCATTTTAACAAAGCAAGGATGAAAAAACTTCATCCTCGAACCAAAGAAAAACGCAAAGGGAGAGTAGCTGTAATTACAGAAGCATTAATTGTTAAATATTTTGTGAGATGGGCCTGAACGAGTTTCTCTAATTCAATAATCATAAAAGAAAAAGTATTATTTTATTTATTTACTTTTATTTTAAGTTATTAATCAAAAATGTTAATGAGTTAGAGGTTCAAATATACATCTATCTGCATTTCGAAGTTTATCACGGGTATTAATCTTATTTCTGATACTGCGATTATAACTATCACTATATCCTACAAACCATAGGACTTTGTGATCATTCACTGCCAGTGTCATGCCATTGGGTAAGATCTATTATTTTTTATAAATTTTTTTCTTAGTAATAACCGATTTCAGTATTGTCCACACTTCTTTTGCTACAGAAACCGCAAAAAAGCAATGAAATGTGATTGTTATTTACACTTCAGAATAATATATTTATATATTCATTACTTACTTTTATCAGGATATTGTAGATTTAAAAATTCTACATTCAGTAAACCACAATTCTATACGCAAACAACATTTAATTATATTTTATATGGACCTACATAGAAAGAATTGTGTCTTATGTAAAAGAAATGGAAGCAATATAAATCACTGTGATTGGAGACTTGAGAATAAAATAATATGCTTTGAATGATTCATGACATTACTGTGAATTTATAAAAATGTGAAGAGCGTCGGTGAATTGTGTATCCTCGGAGGTATGTAAGTAGTGTGGCTTCGATGTAAATCCAATAAATCCAATAAATTGAAAGACCTATTTGTACTAAAATATGCCATAATAGGAAATGAAGAGACATATATCTATAGAATCTATTTAGAATTATTTTGTTTTTTTTTTTTCTTGTATTTTAAAATAGTCTTGTAAGGCTCTTAATTTACTAGTGTACATTTAAAACTATATTTGTGGGGCATATTACAATAAAGTCGACTAACAACATTGAAAACAAATAAAAATAAAAAGCCAATAAAAACTATAAAATTGCAAGTCTTTTTGTATACGTCAACATATCATGCTCTTCTTAGCTTAGAATGTAATGACATTTCTTTCAGCGATTTTGGTTTGCATTTTCTTTGTGGCCTGCTCAATGACTTCTCCTTGGTATTTGGAGTACTGCTGTTTTCTTCAAGAAAATTCTCAGTTGCTGAACCATTTAAGAAAATATCCTGTGTAGCACTTCGATCGCTTTCACCTGCATACAAAATAAAAATAAAGGAATGAGAAACTAAGTAAATGGTGCGGCATAACTTACAGTCATTAGAGAACATCGGCAAGGACGATGAGAATGAATACACTTTCCCTGAACGTGTGTAGTGTCGTTCTTCATCAACTTCAGTATCATTCTCAATATGGTTTTGCGTACCTGGCGGTTCTCTATATCTGCCTCTGGCTACAGTAACATGTTCTCTCCGTTTTGGTGACGACCCAACTCTATTTGTTGATTGATTTATTGTATTCGTCACATCTCCCAAAGCCTGAACATCTGGCGTTGTAGCCTCTGCCTCATTGTCGTTCGTGTCGTTAGTAGTGTCAGCGGTGCAGGCCAACGACATGTTCGCCATGTATTCACTTATATCTCTCTGCGTTGTCTCGGTAATGCTAAATAATAAAAATGATAAAAAATAATTAAAAAATGTGATATATTTAAAGAAGGTTGATACGTACAATTCTTCAGTGTCTGGATTGGGTCCACTTTCAATTTCTTCCATAATTATTCCCATTTCTTCCTCATTTCTGTAAATAATTTTATTTATTAAATTTGACCAAGTTCTAAATTCAATGAACATTTTCTGACCGACTTTCTTCCTGTATTTCTTGTACCTCAGCTGGAGAACGAACTGGCGATGTAGAGTTAAAAGATCTAGGGGTTTGAATCACAGAACTGGACCGTCTTGCCTGTTCCGCCAAAAGTGTACTTTGCCTACCACTGGGTACTGGCTGGGCCCCATTTTTAAAATATGCCAACAGAGGAGATTCGGGGTCTAAAATTTCCAACTGATCTTGGAAGAAGGTTTTCAAAAGTGAAGAGCATCTTGTTTTCATTTTGATAACAGTTGTCTCCGCCTCAAACAATTGTGCTTTCAGACGAACTATCTCAGTATGATATTCCGACATGACCGTCCTCATTGACCGGACCTCTTCCACCAATTCCTTGTTTAATGCCTTATAGTGACTTTCCATATTGCATCGATTTTATTCTGAGAACTTAGGAGGCAGAGCTATGGCCAATTGTAAAACCGCCGCGAAAAGAAAATTTCAAAATTTATTTTCATTTGTTTTCAAGGAAAAATGGCTTCTGGTTGTTGTTGGAATACTTATGGTAGATGGTAGTCGGTACATAAACATTGTCGTAAGTTGAATTAGTTCCTTAAGTAAAGTAGACGTAACGTGTATGTGATGTGACTAATAAATGACGTGTCGTACAAAAAAGTTGTATGTACTACAAACGGGTAGATTCCATGTAACAATGAAGCATGGTAGAAAAATACAGGTAGATGCATCAACGCTTGGGAGCATTGATATGTCAAAAATTTTTAAATTTCTTTTCAAATATAAGTATATTTTTATATGTTTTCATATACGACGTTTTTCGGAGTATATTATAATACTCGTTTTTCAACAATTTTTACAAATTTTAATAAGTTTTCTACAAAATTTTCAATTCTAAATTTGCTTTGACAGTTCATTGTCCCAGCAGCTGTGTCGATGCGTCTACCTATGTTCTTCTACCATGCATTGAAGGCAATATAGGCTAACTTGAAAAAGGTTGCACGTAACGAGGTCTACCTGTAGGGATTGTAATGTCAGAATTACTATCAAAACAAATGCAACTTGTTGCATTGATTTTGAATGAATAGTTAAAAACGCGAAAACTGATTAAAAGGTCATACTTTATTTTTAAAATCATGTTCTAATATCTCTACATGTTTATTTCGTTACAAAAATCGAAAATGTTTTCCTTGCATACGTTGAGATAGGCATTATTTTGTTTATTATATTATTGTATTATTATTTTCTGCCCACCTTGATTTCATTGTACCATGGGCAAATTGTCTTCCTAAATTTTAACTTTACAAAAAACTAGAAAAAAACTGTAATTTTAATTAGAAACAATACTGGGGAGAATAATACATTTTTGCTGTTTCACTCATAATATATATATTGTATTTGATACAGCCTGGACCGTAGTAGAATCAATACAAGGTAGAAAAGGAAGGTTAAACTTGAAGCACAGCCTTGAGGCTAGATCTATGTAATTTTAAAGTTACTAATAACTAATAGATCAAGTTTTCTTGTTTAATACATTTTAGTACTAGGTTGGGTTGGAAGGGCATTGGTCGGTCACAGCCAAAAATCGCATTATCATCTGTATCATGTAAAATAAAAAAAAAACAATAGTTTGAAAGTCTATTTTACACAGTAATGCTAGGAACACAATTGGAGCGAACGACGAATGTCGCCCTACGCGGCGACAAAATGAGCCGCGAAAATTCGTCGTATGGAACACAATACCGACGAAATTATAAATCAGCTGATGAAGTTGTTTACTTTTTGCTCATTTGTTGACTACAATGAATTATACAAGAACACATAATTCTTTACGTTCTCTATTATAATTTCACTTATGTCCATCTTCTCTATTATAAATTCACTGATAAATACAATACTGATACACAAATAAATAAACAAATTAATTATGTTTTTTTTATACGAGTAACAGATAGTAGAGTGACCATAACAAATTTTAAAGTAAAAAGTTACTTTCTTTACTAAAACACATAAAATTCGTACAAGTATGGCCACCTTGTACTGTTTTGTTCGCCGGTCGCCGGCGCATGAAATAGAAATAAAGCTAATTGAGTTCGCGGCGACCGACGAAATTTTCGCCGGTGTCGTGATTGTGTGCACTTCCATATACACATATGTGTTTTATTTTTGACGACGAACATACGCCGCGAAAAAATTCGTCGTTCGCTCCAATTGTGTTCCTAGCATAAGACTGTAGAGTTTTCTCGGTTCCTTGTTTTCTAGTTCCTTTCAAGTTGTTTAACTATTCTGCTTTTGATATGCTTATGTGACTTCTACATGTTGACATGTCACTTCAAAGTAACCGTTTCTTTTCGATTTTGCAACGCCTACAGTATTTGTCGTTTTTCGATCTATAGATCCTTATTACACAAGTTAATGCCAAAGAATACTTGAAAGAATAATTGAAATTTTAAACAAAAAACAGTAAAAATACGTGTGTGTGCTTAAACAAATGTTCAGAAAAAAGAAGCGATTTAAACACTAGTCAAAGCCGGTCGTTAAGATTTTTAATGAGAAAGTGAAAAGAAAAATAAGTGAAAGGTGGCAAAAGAAGAGAAAAGAAAGGAAAATATATGAATATGAAAGGGAGGACTCAAATCCACATATGTATGTTGATGTGGTTGTGTTGGACCGTGGATGCCACACACTTGCAGGGGTCCTTTGATACACAGGATTTCTTTAAATTTCTCGTGAAATTCGGTTTTCAGAAAGCAGAGTCTCACCGTCCTCAGGACTCTTTCGGTTACATATATGGCAATATCACATCCGACAATGAGTTTCATCAGCCAGTGACTCTTGTCGTACTGGACAAATCAACGTTTGTCGACTTCTATCACAATCGCAGTTTGAGCATCTACGGTCGCGAGTTGGCATGTCAACATATGTTCAAAAACATCCAGTACTTGGCTTACGATCCGGATTGTAACGCCCATGGTAAACGCGATTTTCTTAGACGAGTGCCATGCCCAAAGGGCCAGTTATGCCAGGATGAAGACGCACCCAGTAATGTCGTTGCAGGACATCAATTTACCTATGTCATCAGTGAAGTCTCGCAGCCAAGGTTTGTTTGATTTTATTATTACTTGTGGCCTTGAGTGTCAACGAAGAGGGCGGTATGGGTGGCGTTGGAGGTAGCTAGATACGATTTGCCAATTGGCAAATGCAATTTTGGGGGTCATTTGGGTTATTTGTCTGTTAATGTTTCTCAGTCTGATCAATATTATTGTGGCGTGTTAGAATTTAATTTCCAACCCCCCACGTGTCCCAAAAAATCAAGAAGACGACAGCGAGCCCTAAGATAAGATAAGAAATGTTTGTGTCTGATCTTAAGTGACAGGTTGAGATTTAATGGCTTCCGAAGATTGTTGGTATAAGAATTTGGAAAACTTCTTCTTTGCACTTTAAGTTGTTATTAAAATATTTTTACTATAGGATGTTAGATACATTTCTATACGAGTGTATTTTACTTAGTAAAAATTTGTTATTACGTATTTTCTGGATATTCAAATTCAAAACAACAATAAACATATAGGTATATGTTTTTTTTTAAATATCATATAATAAATCTTTCGTATAAAATTCAAATATATACCTACTCAAAATTGATTCGATATGCTTTCTATTATAGAAAGCTGCCAAAGCTGGAAGCTTCCACGGATACTGTGTTGTGTGATACTATTGTCGCGCTGCACAGATCAAGATACCAAAGTATAGTAAAGCACATAGGCTCCATGTCGTTTATTTACATTTCATTCTGTGGTACTTGTATCGAAATTTAGCACCACCCTTAACTTGCCAGATCCTCACTCGTATTACTTTCTCTGGTCTTTGTGTCTCTTGTTATTTTACAATGTTTTATATTTATCTGGTACGAAAAAAAAAAACGTTTCTATTTGCGGAAGGAGAATTTCGTATGAAAAAAAAAACAGATGTTTTGCAGAACCATAAACAAGCAACGACCGATGTCGTTGGCAAGTTGTCAGTGACCAAAAATGAACCAGGTAGTTAGGTTCGTTCCTATCTAAACCTGTGTGTTATCGGTTATGATGAGTTTTATATCTAGATACTTCATTGTTTATCACACTCACATTTGGAAAATTCTCAAGTAGAAACCCTCTGACTCATGTCAGCCATATTTGCATAGATATTATATTCATTGTCGTGATTGCTAATAAAAAACTATAAAAGATCGTCGTTAGTAACCTTGAAGTCATATTAAAACTGACAACATCAAGGCAGTTTTCCACGCACTACTTTTCAATTTTTCTTTACTATCTTAAATAATTGTCCCGGCAATTGGGGATGCATTTTTGGTTTTTGATTAACTTAAAAGCCCCAATTGATATATTGCTTAATACCCCTTGCGATTTAATATTTTTCTTACATTTCTGAAATAAAAACATTTTTATTATAGGTTTTGGTATATGGCCATTGTGGCCTGTTATCGCAATCGAACAACGTGTCAATGGCACGCATATGATACCCTAACAGCGCCAGCATCGTTTTTAAATAACAGTATTTCGGTATTGCACTATGACATTCATGTTGTAAATGGCCATCCCAACAATTCAGACGATCATCCCCTTACATATGAGTTCTCCTTCGATCAACAGAATCTTTTAGAAATGTATTTAATATTCCTGTTGGTTTACATTGTTCTACTGCCCATGCAAATTTACGCGGTGCGTTTGCAGAAACATCCTGTCACAAAGTTGTTTACAATCAGTTTGCTAAGTGAGTTCGTAAGTTTAGTATTAATAACATCCCATCTGATCAAATATGCCAGCAATGGCAAAGGATTGCCAAATTTGCAGACATCCGGAGACATTTTAGATATTGTTAGTAGGGTAAGTGTGAATAGTGCCAACAAGTTCTTCTCAGTAGTATGCCTCTTTCAATTTTCCCTATAGACCACATTTATGTTAATACTGCTACTGCTAGCCAAGGGATGGGCTGTAACACGTCAACAAATAAGTCGCACCGGTTGGATTATATTGATGAGTATATGGGTGCCCTATTGTGCTTTTCATGTGTTCCTCTACTACTGGAATAGAGTAAGTTTGTGTATTTTCCATGCATTACAAATTTGTATAATTTTATTATTCATGAATATAGACGGAAGTTGATATAATTTCCGATGTGGACGAGTATCAAACTTGGCCTGGTTGGATAGTTCTTATATTACGGTAAATATAAATTACTTTGCTGTTTTAGATAATAAATTTATTCTAATATTTTCCTATATATAGCACCACATTCATGTTATGGTTCCTGTACGAACTACGCAATACCATGAAATATGAACATTCATCTAAAAAACTAGATTTCCTTTTACATCTGGGAGCATCCAGTCTGGTGTGGTTTATTTATCTTCCGATAGTGGCCATAGTAGCATTACAAGTGAGCCCCATGTGGCGCTATAAATTATTATTGGGTATAACAAATTCAGCTGATTGTTTGGCATATTGTGTTATGACAGGACTCTTGTGGCCAAATAGATCTGGACAGTATTTGCTTTTGACAGGCTCAAAATACGCAGGTATGTAAAAAATCGAACTTTTTCCGAACAACTCATTTACTGATTGAATACCTTTGTTTCACTAGGTATGGATGAACTAGACGAATTCAATGAAGCCCCACACATTGTGCGGGAACGTGAGAGAAGGCAAAATTCTATCGACAATCCCGTGGTGGTGGTTACGAATGCCACCAGCAATCATTCAACGAATCGGCCAAATGGTGACGCCTGCGCGGATCTTTTAGAAGCAGAAGACTTGGACGCGGAACTTCTAACAGACCTTAATAAGAATAGTCATATTGTGGCATAAGAAGTGCCACACCGTATTTAGGACGTATGTTTAAACTGCGCAATTACTACTGAATAGTGCTTATGATAATGGTTTTTATTATTGTATTGTGCGCACACCTCATACACAATACACAGAAATACAATAGTTGAAAATCTTTTTGTATAAGCATTTGCCAAATGCTAAGATAACAGAGTGATAATCTTGTTTATAACCTGAGAGTTTCTTTCAATTATTATTTGTGTAATTCATATAATGTATACATAGTAACATTAGCGATATTAATTAATTATAATATAACATAAGCAACGAATGTTTTTTTTTTTTTTAAGTTCCAACATTCTACTTTAGCAACAATGTAAAATATCTTTGTATCTAGACTCTTTTCATTTTTGTTCATTCATTTGATTCGATAAATATGTCATTCGCGGTTTCTTTAAAATTCGTTAATGAACGTACATTCAAATTATAGCCATTATTTTTGTGATTTATGAAATGAGACACACAAAACAAAAACAAAGCAAAAAATACTTTATTGTTAATTATTAATCTTTGTATATTTTTCTAAGAAAATATCATTGAATATGTTATATTTAAGTAACACAACAACAACAACATAACACAACATTACAAAACGAAACGCTGCATACATTCATTAGTTTTTAGTGTATATTTCTATTTAAGATCTAAAAGATTTAAATATTTTAAATTGGATAATAGTGTCAAGATGATGTGACAGCTTTTGATCAATCATGTCATATAAATTTTAAATGAACAAAAAAAAAAACAATTATAGAACTGAATTAATATCACTGGCAATGTATTTTCTTTTAGTTGTAAGCTACCAAAATATGGAATGTAACCAGAATAAGCTTGACAACTTTATAGCCGCTTGTGTTCCAACGATTTTCATTACGGCTAACCACAAGAAAGTATATATTCTTAGTTATGCTGTCAAATATGTATTAATAATTAATTTGATGCACGTGTGTGTTTGTTATCGTGAATATCTTCCTTTAATGCGTCCAACAACAAATAAAGTTGACGGCGTTTTCAGCGTAGCAAGAGTTATTAACAAATTAGTAATGTCACAACCAACATCGTTAACACTTAACCCTATTCTCAAATTTTGTTTTTATGTGGTTGTATTCATCACTCAACTGTTTGGTCTATTGAATTTGCCCTTCAACTTTAAGACAAAGCGTTTCTCACAAAAGGGAATTTACAACAGGATTTATTGTGGCATTCTTCACTTACTTTATTGTGGATTTTTACCCTTTGCTGCCACCTCACCCGTTACCGACAATGCCGCCTACAAGAAGGCATCGTTTTATGTCATTTTAAACTATGCCATTACCATTTTGAGATTACCAGCATTATTTTTCACCCTATGGGGAGTGTGGTGGCATAGCAAAAATCTTTACTGTGTGATTCAAGACTTTGAAAAATTGCGCTTGGAGAATTTCCATAATTTGAAGGAATCGAAACGATACCAGATACTCAAAAAGAACGATCGGTTGGTGTGGTCAAAAATCCTAACAACAATGAGTGTGATGATCATGTTCTACTTTCGAATATTTATGTTTGCCAAAGAACCCTCACTGAGTTTTATTTTGTTGTCCATTTATTTCGGCTGTTTGGAGTGTTTAACTATTTACACCATAAATTTCTTTTTCTGTGGCATTTGTTATGCCAATTGTGCGCTACATTATGTCAAAGAGATATTGGATGAACTCGAAGGAGATTCAATTTCATTTAGAATACATCGCCTTTCCCAAGTGTTTGGAGATATTTGCAAGACTACTAAGAACTTGTTTATCATTTTCCAATGGCAAATATTGTCCATAATGTTGGCAGCAATGATTGCGCTGATTGCCTTATTCTTCAACTTGATAATCCTGTGGTTTACATCGCCGAGGATATTTCAAATTCCTGTGATAATTTTAACTCTGCAAGCAGCCTTTATAAATATGGGAGAGATTTTTGTAACGGCATATGTATTGAATGACATGAAGGAGTGCCTGAAGGATATACAGAGAGTTCTGATGGAACTCACATGGAAATGTGATTTTTTCAACAACAAGGAGTTGGATAATGTTGTGAGTATTGAACGTGTTTTTTAGAGTTTTGTAACAATCAATAAATATTTTGGATTTCCATTTTAGATGGATATGTTTTCGCTGCACCTCTGTGTTCGTGCACCTCAAGCTAATCTCTGTGGATTCTTTGATTTTGATATGCGTATAGCTATTAAATTCTTACAAGCCATGCTGATACATTTGATATTGTTGGTGCAATTTCATTTCAGACACATGGTGTAGAATTGTGTGAAGTAGAAAAAGTAAAGAGTCGATTTGGTGTCTATAAAGAAGAGAGTTTTATAAATCGGGAGTCTATAAGTCAGAGCATATATAACGTCAAAAATGTGAACGGTAGTACTTTCAGAGTTTTGTATAAATTGTTCTATCTATGCAAGGTTTCTCCAGTAACATTTAATAAACTCTCCGTATGCAACTTTTCAAAATTTCACTCTCATGTTCCTATTTTTTCTGTACTTTTGGGTAAAAAGACGACATCCCGTAAAATGGGGTAAAAATTGTTACAATAAATCGAATAAAACGATACAACAAATAGCTTTACTCTTTTTATACCCTCAGCCAGTGGCTAGAGAGGGTATATATAAATTGATATGGTCAAAGCGTGCCTAGTCGAAATAACGGTTTTAGACCCTAGGTCTCTTTGGACAAAATCCGTATCAGGACATTTGGAGTTGATCTGGCGTTGTCCGTCCGTCTGTCTGTCTAGTGCGCGCGATAACTTTCGAAGGGAGAATCCGATTTGGTCCAAACTTTGTACATCGTAACATTTTTGTCAAACTTAGATCGAGTTCGGAGATGGCCAATATCGGTCCACTCCTTCTGGTATCCCAACAAAAAAGTCAAAATTTAAAAAAAAAAAAAAAAAATCTGCACCGAAAGAGGAACGATGATCCGATTTTTCTCCAACTTTGCAAATCCTAATATTTGCATCAGTGCTAAGTCAGGTGCGAAAATGGACAATATCGGTTCACTCCATCAAGTACCTCCCCCACAAAGGGTCAAGATTTTGAATAATTACAACTCTCATAAAATGTGATGAAAGAGTAAATTGTCTTCAAATTTTCCACACCCAAGGTCTGGTGAGAAGATGGAATATCTCGGCCCAATCCTTCTGGGACCTCCCCAACAAAAGGTCGAAGTTTTCAAAAAATATATTTTCTGCACAGAAATAGATTTTGCTACAGCTTTGCAAAATCTAATATTTGCATCCATGCTAGATCAAGGGCAAAAATGGATAATATCGGTCCACTTCATGAAGTGTTTTTTAGTAAATAATTTGCAAAAATGGTTAAATTTGAAGATTTTTTCCACTTAAAGGAACAAGGTTAGGGTTAGGGCAGCTGTTTTTTGTGATACAAAAAACAAAAGGCTATCTCCATCTATTGAATAATTATATATTATTTTAATTTTTCGTTTTTGACTTTTTTACATGGTTGTGTGAATGAATAAATGACATAAGAAGCTTTCGAAAGCGCCATCTGTTGTAAAGTTTTGTCGGCAACACTTGTTTATTTTATTACCGTGCAGATGGCAACCTTTTGGCTGGGCGAACAACACGATTTGGGCAAATTTGCTGAATGAAGGAACCTACCAAGTAAAAATTGTTGCCATAAAAATATCCTGGTATTTTTCCCTAACTTTGTCATTCTTGTAGATTGTGAATAAAATAAATAAAGGTTAAGCTGCATGACATAACTAGATGTCGCTGTTTATATAAATATGTATATATTACATCCAAGTTTCTTAGAATGTGTAAATTCAAATCCGCGAAAAAACATTAAATTTCCAAAATATTCATGTGTTGCTATTGTTTTAAAGTGTTTCTGAAATATGTAATTTTAACAACTAAATTGTCCTTAGTTTTTTCTTCTTATTTAGCAATAGAATATACTTAATTTTAAAAGTGAATACAAGTAAAATTAGTTACAAATTTCAAGAATATGATGCATTGGTTTAAATGCTTAAACATTGCTTTTATTAAAGCACAGCGCATACATACAAATACCATCCCACACTAATACAAGGGGGGAAAAGGAAACCAAATCACAATTATAATTGATTTCCCCGAACAAAAAAAGCAACAACATATTTGTCAGGGAATTCGAATCCTATATCAACATGGGAATATATGAATTATCCTGATGAATAAGGAAACAAAACATAATTTCATTCTGGGACATAATTTGGCCAGAAGAAGAACACAAACAACACCAACAACAATACACTGTCTATTTGCACAGCCAATTAGTTGTTACGAGAAAAACAAAAATAGCAGATTGCTTACGTAAGTGTTCGTGTTTGCGTGTGTGTTAGTGCGTGCGTGTGTATGTGTCTATGTGTTTGTGTCAGATAATGGATAAGCCACTTTCATACACAGATATCGTTAGACGACAACTTTTAGCAACAGTTGATGGGTATAAAAATAACTCTGGGGAAAATTGCCACTACATAAAGACATCATTAAGGCCAATGTACTTCCATATCGATATATTAGGATGGACTCCTTATCACATCACAAAAAAGAGGAAAACTACGATGGAGTTGGGATTCAAATTATTTGCAAGGGAAGGAAACGCAGTTTACTATATTTTCTTACAAAGAAAGCTTTGAATCTAAGGCAAACATAAATAGCTGCACATTTGAAAATGCCGAAAATTTGTCAAAATCTGGTTCGAACAGGGCTTCTTCACGTAGATAACGAGATGCTTCGACAGTAAAGAAATATTAAGAAATCAAACATAGGCAATCTGTTTCTTTAATAAAAATGAAAGATCTGAATATGCTATAATTCCGATTTTCCTTCTAATATTGCTCTGCGTATTTCAGATGAATTTGTGGAAGCAAAGTAAACAACATTTTTATACCCTCAGCCATATGGTTAGAAAGGATATATATCATTTGATGCTGCCAAAACGTGACTCATCGAAGTAACATCGTTATATTTTCGTCATACTTAGATCGAGTTCGTAGATGGGCAATATCGGTCCACTTCTTCTGGTACCTCCCTCACAAAAGTCTAAATTTTCAAAGAAAATAATTTACTGCACAGAAAGAGAAAACAGGATCCGATTTTGGTACAACATTGCAAATCCTAATATTTGCGTCAGTGCTAGGTCGATGCGAAAATGGACAATATCAGTCCACTCCATCAAGTACCTCCCCCACAAAAATTTGTCAAAATTTTGAATAACTATAACTCTTATAAAAAATGTTGTAAAAGTTCGATTGTCTTCAAATTACAAACATCACAATATTTTTATTAACCCAAGGTATGTTGTGAAGGTGGAATATGTCGGTCCACTCCTTCTGGTACATCTTCCACAAAGAGTCAGAATTTTGAATAACAAAAAAAAGATTATAAAATCCGAAATAAGCATCCGGTTCACTTCATATTTCACGCATCCCATTATTTCTACTAACACAAGATCTGTTGTGAAGATGGGCTATATCGACCCACTTCTACTGGTACCTCCACCACAAGGGGTCAGAATTTGGAATTGCCTTAAAAGCTAGAAAAACGAGAAATAAGCCTCCGATTCTCTTCAAATTTCACACATCTCAATGTTTTTACTAACAAAAGATCTGCTGTGAAGATGGGATATATCGGTCCACTCCTTGTGGTAGCTTCCCTACAAAGGGTCAATATTTTGAGTATCAATCAAGCTCATAAAATGGGAAATTTACATCCGATTCCTTTCAGACTTAGTAGTATTAATATTTCCATCAACACAAGATCGATTTTCTTAAAATTTTGCCCGTACCAATATTTTTATGTATATTCGATGCAGTGTGAAGATGGAATACTTCGGTCCGCAATATTTGTTGCCTCACATATATTTCCACAGTTTTCAAAAATTTGCACATATTTCATGTAAAGTTTGAAAGTAGTCGATATAGTCCAAATCTGGCACATTGTAATATTTATATCAGTCTTAGGTCAGATACGAAATGGTCAATATTGGCCAAGTACTTCGAGTAATAATAATAACTGAATGCTGGGGATATACCTTTGTCGACAAACCCTACTGATACTGTTTCACTTTTTTTTTTTTTTTGCAAATCAAGTCAAATTTTGTTTCTGCAAATTACTCTATTTCTTTACAATGCTCCGATCCATCCCATTATTAGCGTTTAATTGTTTTAACATGCAAACCTCACGTATTTAGAGTATGTGCCGGCTTGCATATGCTCCCCCAAACATTTGTTTGCGAATAGTTGTGTTGCATAACGTGGCACTTGCCACCCAGCAAACAAAACCATCTAGGTTCGCTTCAAAAGCCGATAGTGATATAGGATTTGATTGATCGAAGGTGATGTAGGCTTAAGAAAATATCTCTGTCAAACCTTTGATAGAATACATTGACAAAAAATATATTCATAGATATATTCTTATACACAATTCAGAGATGGAAATCTGTTTTCTATGCAGCTACATTGGACTATTTATATTATAGAAAACATATTTGTCAAAAGGTACAATAAAAAAGGTAGCCTCAATCATGCGTATTTTTTCTTTAGTTTATGTTCAAAATACATTTTTAAAATTCCATTGTATATACACAAATCAGAGATGGAAACCAGATTTCTATGCATTTAAATTTGACAACTTAAATTGCCGAAAATACAGAGCTGGATATTCTCATTTGAAATTAGTTTACCGACAATTCCACCAAGGAACAGAAGTCGCAAGGGCATGGTGACCAACATTTTCTATGTTTTTTGCAGTCGTTATGGATACCCAAAATTTTGCTTGCTGGGCATACTCCCCCATATGTGCACGGTTTGTTGCGGCCTTTTATGGTTTGTCTCTCAAAACGTCTGACGCTGGTAAATATAATGGCCTAAATCCTTAACGGTTTGTGCATCAATAATTGTTAATACAAAATGTTCGCAGTCGTGCGTATAATTGGAATTAATACAAAACCAAAATGAGCATAGTCAATACACACAAACAAGCTCTTTGGCAATCACGCACACACACACATATCAGATACTAAATCCTATTGACTGATACTTAAATGTGCGTGTATGTGTGTGTGGGAGAGAGAGAGAGGTTGAGTATAGTAAGGGAAATCTAAAAGATAATACTTGTATTTGCCCATCTACAACTCAATTTAGCGATAGGGGAATAATAATGTTGCCCACATTTGGAATGGATATGGCTGGGGTTATTATGGAAACCTATTTAAATTAATTAAAGTTTTGAAAAAATATGTAATTAGGAAAATTATATCGAATATGAATTAAACTAATCCCTTATATGAGACGTGCACTGTTCTTTATTTCCGAGTAGTTTTTCCCCGTAAAAATATTCTGCGTTGTTATTTTGTTATAAAAATAACAAATTATCTCATTTCATGTAAAATCACAGAATTGTTTCTTATCTCCTTCCCCATTCACCCACTAAATACTTCGACTCAGTAATCCCTCCAGTTGTACGGGGTGACTGATAACATCTCAATGAACTTGCCGGCTGACTGCTCACATACACCGGAAACACTTTTATGGTTTTATGAATTCTCTATGTGTGTGTGTGTGGGTCTATAGGTCTCACAGGTATTGTGAACTAATACAATCAAATGTCAGCACACAATATCCTGCTTCTTGCAAGGGAATCTCTGCTCAAAATATGGCAATTAGAGTAGCATTTAATGGAATTCTTATTAATTTCGATAGGCCTCTGGGAATCGAAGTGACCAACATATTTTGCCACAACAGGATTAATGCTGGTGTAGTGGATGAAATGAAGCTTCTTAGAGGAGCAGCACTGGAATATTTATGTATTCTTCTTCAAAAGCAAATGCTGCGAACTAATAGCTTTGTGTTTTTTTGGGAAATTGGGTTATTGATTTTTCATATCCTGCACACATGATTCAGTTTAATTGTATGTGTATTCAGTTTAATTGTTTGATTGATGGCTGGACTCCTCAGCTGGTTTCTTATAATTAATCTAATTGAATTGACTGAAAAAATAATTCATCTCCGATACAGATGCACGTGTTGCATTAAAAATATAAAAAAATACGACATTAACCTTGAGACAAAATGGTAAAATCCCCAGAATTTAACATAACCTATAAAAAAATGCAACAAAAAATCCACCTTGGAATAATAAGAAATAGAGAAAATATTTTTATTATTTTCCCTGTGGAAAATTTCCTTGAAATTTTGTTTTTATTGCATGCTCGGTTTACTCAGAGTAAACAAACGTGTCTCAGCTCCAAGACCAAATCATGGA